ATCGGATGTTCATTGTGAGGTGGACTCCTCATTCGCGCGTGAGATGATCATGTGGACAGGAATAAGTCATAAAAATAAATCTAACAATCAGCGAGATTGTGTGGATTTTCTTTCCTTCCTTTTTTTTTTAAAAAAAATCTTTTCTTTTTCTCTCCAACGACCCCTACATTGGATGGGAGATGATTACGTGGATAGGAACAAGTCACAATAATAAATCTAATTATTTGTCAGGTTCTGCTTCGTGCATGAACGGTTTCCAAATAATAATGGTGATAATACAAGATTCATTCAAGTTTTAATGATCTAGATACATAAAATCATTTTGCCCCCTCCTCAAACAAACTTTAATACAAATAACATTGGGGCTTGAAAGACCAAAACAATTAGCAAAAAATGTCAGGATATGGATTCTTTCCTCTTGCTTCTCATCCTCTTCCATTTTTTTCCCTTGCTAGCCATTACATTAAGATTTAAACTATTCAAATTTAATCTCTTATACAATTATTATTAAAATATTAAATTAATAAAAATATAAATAATAAAATTCAAATGACTAAAATTTAAAAACAACATTAAAAATGCAGTAAAAGTAAAATAAAGTAAAATATTTTGAAAGAGATCAAATCTGAATTATTTAAAATCTTGATTTGATGGTTTGAAATTGAGAAAAGGAGGGGAAGAGAATGGAAAGAAAGAGTAGAGAATCCTCTCCCAAAATAGAGTACCAAACGATAGGAAAGAAGATTCTCTCATCTTCCTTTCAATCCTCTTTCCCTCCTTTTTTTTTTTTAATTTCTAATCATTAGATTAAGATTTGATCTCTTTTACAATATTTTATTTTATTTTATTTTATTTTATTTTACTTTACTTTTATTGTACTTTTATTTTTTTTATTAAATTTTAGCAGTTTAAATTTTATTATTTATTTTTTTATAATTTAATATTTTAATAATAGTTTTATAGGAAATCAAATTGGAAAAATCTAAACCTTGATCTAATGGCTATAAAGGGCAAAGAAGGGAAGAGAGAATCCGTGTCCCAAATGACAGTGAACCTCCAAATAAAGGGGGAAAATTAAAATTCATTTTATTGTTCTAATTAATTATTAATTATAATTATTTTATAAGTTATAACTCCACAAAAATACATTGGTCATTGGGATACATAATTCAGTAAAACAGAGGCTACTCCTATTCAAGATCTTCAATTTAGACATTGTTAATTCAACCAACTCAAATTTAGATTATTAACAATATCAAATAATATAGTTTTAAATTATTTTGTTAGTGTAAGTCAATAACTCAATTCAATGCTATTCATGACCAAAAAGATGCCTAGACATTCAATAAGTTTAGATTAAATTAATAAAAAAGTAAACCAGTAACAGAATCGAGAAACTCATTAGGAAAAGTATCAACTAATACCGAACTTAAAATATTATAATCACGGAACCCCCCACCCCAACTCTAATCCACCCTTTTGTACTCCTTCCTTTAAAAAAAAAAAATTGTAAGAGGAATTGTCATATATGTCTCTTTTTTTTATAATCAAAATTATAAATTTTAAAAAATATTTATCACATGTTTCAAATTATCTCTCATAAAGCTTGTGCTTATCTCCACAAAATAAATTTATTTCATTAATTATAAGGATAACTTAATTTAATATTTTTAAATTTTAAGTATAATTATTACATTTAACTAATTTTTTTAAACTATGTGAATTATTTTTTTTTTATTTGAAAATGGAGTAATACGTTGAAGCATTGTGTTGTGCTATGGGTCAGGTATCAGTTGAAATTTCTGTCATCATTCTTTTTTTTTTTTTTAAACCCGTTGTCAATAACTTGTCTGGGTGGTGTAGTTGGTTATCACGCTAGTCTCACACACTAGAGGTCCCCGGTTCGAACCCGGGCTCAGACAAGATTATTTGTTTCGTTTTAGTTCACAGCTTTCCTTCTTTGGGCACCTACTTGAGGCAACGTTACCTTTTTGGCCAGTTGTCAACGTAACTTAATTAATATTTATTGAACCAACTTGTGGGGTTTGGTTATCTCACGCTTTGCTCATCTAGCGTGATTCTGGTGGGTGACACTCTTGTAGTCAACGTTGGTGGCTTACTTCAGGTGTACGTTTTCTTTTCTAAAGTGTCCGTTCATATTGTAGATAATTAGTGTAATCCAATTTAACCTTCCAACGTCATTTTGTTGATGGGATGTATCCTTGTCTAACTCTAAGAACAATTAAGTTATGAGAGAATGACAGTTAAGGTTTAAGAGAATCAATTAATTTAAAGTTAAATCCGTTTCAATTTTAGAGTTGATCTTTTAATAATAATAAGTTTAATAGTTATAAATATTTATAAGTTTGATTCCAAATGTTACAATTTAATTGTGATACATTTGTAACTTATTTTTTAAATTTTAACATGAAATATAAATATTCAATTTTAATGTTAAAAAATATTAACTCTATTATTTATTCTTTATTATTATTTCTTTATCAACAAAATAAATAGATCCTCCATTTATCCGTTACCTATTATTATTCTTCAACCTTTTCAAAATTTTAAAAACAAATTGAAATACATCATAACAAAATTGTAACATTGACAGCTAAACTTGTAAACCTTTGAAGCTATTAAACTTATTACCACTAAACGACCAAGAGATTTGTTGGTATTCTAAAATTGATTAGGATTTAATTTAAATTAATTGATCCCCTTAGAACTTACTCTCCTAGAAAAATTTAATTATATGACTTATAAAAAGAACTCAACAAAACTTCTCTATTTGCCCTATATATACAAACTAAAGAGGGTATTGTTTTTTCTTTCATCCTTAGTGTCAATTACTAAATACACTTTATGATGAGTGAAAGATAACTTTGCATAAGAATTTAAGTTAACAAATACAGGGGATAAAATGAAAAAAAAAAGTATATGCAGTAAGTTATTTATATTTTGAACTAAAATTAGCTAATGAAAAATGTTTATATTTTGGACCGCCATTCTTCCATAAGCTATCTAAATATACACTACTTTAGAAAAATAAAATTTAGTGAGAGACAATGCCATTTTTCCTCACAAAATTGCATTTTAGTAAGGGATTTCTCCCCTCGTTAAATTCATAACTAAAACCGGCTCGTTAAAATTAGCAAAAAATCATATTTTCCTCACTGATTAGCAAGGAATTTATTGACGAATTTAGTCCTTCACTAATTTTTAGCGAAGGCCATATCCCTCTCACTAATCGTTCATTAATGCTATTCAAAATTCAATAATTTTAACGAGTAATTAGTCTCTCACTAAATATATCTATATTTAAAAATAATAATACCACATTACCTACCATAAGTGCATCAACTTGTAACATATTGCTAATAATTTTGTACCTCATCAACCGCCATATCACCTACTATCTCGTGTTCCATCACCCACCATGCGTGTGACAACTCATGACACGCCATCATCTACCTCACACCATGTCACTTGCTTCTTACTATATCACATCTTTATTATGTTTATGTTAAGACTAAAACTTGAACCCTTGATCCCTTACTTTTCAAGCTTTATACTTTTCTCCTTTGCTAGTTGGGTCATTATATGATAAATTAAATATATATGTTATTAAATACACAAATATATTATAACAATAAAAACATATATTAAATTTTATTTTGAATTATTAGTTTGTTAAAAATATTTATATTTATTTAAATTATTCTTTATAGTATATTTTTAATAAAATATTATTTTATTAATGAAAAAGAACCTAAATAAAGAAAATATTAAATATCAAATAATTTTATAATAAATATTTTAGTTAATTTTTATTTTTAAATGAAAATAATTAAATATATAAATAAAAGTTATTGTCTAAAGTCAATTTTTTGTAGTAAGTAGTTAGGGATAAAATTCCTTACTAATTATCTTATTTTAAAAAGAGATTAGCAATCTCTCTCTAATTTTAAGTCGACCTACCAAATCAACATCTCTGGCTAATTTAGTATTTTAAAGAAGAATAGAAAATTTCTCGCTAAATTTCCCTATTAATTTATATTTTTTTAGTAATGAAACTTTCATGAATATCATGCATCCTTGACGGAATTTTTCATCGGGCTCAAACGGATATTTGCATCTAGCTTGCCATCCAATTATCCCAGCAAACATAGACAAAGAGTATGTTCCATGATATCCTGCATTCCTCTTCTCTTCTGCAACTCAGATAGATATGTGAACTTGATTCTAAGTTGCCATCATCCATACCAGTGTTTTCATCTTCTCTGGGATTGGATTTCAAATTTCTATCCATTACTTGCTGAGATAAAACAATTTGAAGTTTTGACTAAAAAATACTAACTGTAGACAGTTTATCCCATATGTGTTTTTATCCTTACCGGTCCCTCATCATCTCATTAGGAAAGCAGGTGCTAGTGACTATCTAATTACATGATTACGTGACCAAAATCCTCATTCTTTCTCTTTCCTAACTACCCAAAGTTAATTTGGACCGGAGGGAGTATGTTACAACTATACTTCTCCCTGTAGCAGATCCATTGCTCCTTCCCACCAGATAGTTTCTCTTCAATTTTCTCCAAATCGAACTAAA